AACAAACAAATCATCTCTGTGAGCAGGTTGGGGAATATTTCATTGGTAAGAATGGAATTTAGGAATTGCTCAAATATGGAAAAGAGAGATGTCCACAAGTAGTGCAAGATGAATAGTGGCAGTGAGTGATCAAGGAGATGTGGTAGGGTTATGCTTTTCAAACTTGGTCAGGTGCCGCTTAACAGGAGAAGTAAAGGAATAAGGTAGGCAAGGAGGAGCAATGTCAGGAGTAAACCCACCTGTCTTTGTAATCACATCTGCCTTCTTTTTAAAGTTTGGAATTCCTTACCACTGGTTGTTGGAGGACCCATATTTTATAAATAAAGTTCATATAGCCTTATTACCAAATTCCTACTTTTTAACTCTTGCAGCATCTTTTTTTGATATTTTTCAGATACCAAGCTTAAGGACTTTGCACACAAAGAATTGTGTGAAATTCTGTATTATAGAATCCCCTGTAATCTTACCATACAGAGAAAAATTACTATTAATACTTAGTGTATCTTCCTAGACTGTTTTTTAATCTTTGTTTTCCAGTTAGAATTATAGTATCCATACTATTTTGCCATTTGTTTTTATATATCATGAAAACATTAACATTGAAAGTCTTCTACAACATGATTTTAAAGCTGTATAATAGTTAATCATAGGGAGGTATCATAATCTTCTATTGTTAGGAATTTGTTATCTCCAAATTTTCACTACTTTTTATGAGGAACATTTTTATACATGGATCTTTTTGCATATCTCTGATTGATTTTGGCATAAATTGCCAAATTTCTTTGGTGAAAAACATAAGCAGTTCTTGTGTCTTTGATATGCTTTGTTAAATTGTCTCCCAGAAAGGTTAAACCAGAAATCAAAATTTTTGTTTCTCTTTGTTTTCCCCAATTTGGCTTAAAAAAAAAAAAAAAAAAAAAGGAAAGGAAAAGGAAAAACAAAACACCTTTTCATAACCTGTTAGTATTTTTGTTGATGTTTGCTTGCCTTTAAAGATTCTTCATTTAAAACTAGGAAGAATTTGAGAAGTAAACATTTTATGTATAATATTTATTTACTTAGTTTTGCTATCTGACTTTCTCCCTAGATGTTTTACTTTTCTGATCTAATTTCATTTAATTATGATTCCCTTTGCTAATAAAATAAGGTTGCAAAGATAACAGGAAGTATTTCTATGTTCTTAGATTTTTGTGGTCAAAAGCCGAGAAACTGAGTACACATAACTTTACCCCCTTGCCCTTTGGTATTATTGTTCTTGTTAGAAAGGAAAATGCTGCAAAGGATGAAATAAAACAATGTGATAGATGGTATGAAGGTTACAGTGACAAGACACCAGAGAACAGACAAAAGATCTGTAACACAGCATTTCCTTTCTTTTGTGATTAGTTGTATAAACCAGAACGTTTGTTTTCAACTAAATTGTGTATTAGTAGATTATCTAGTCCACTTGGTACCATTAAAGGAAATAAATTTGCATTGAAATACATAAAACATTAAAAAGCCTAGTAATATGAATAACTTTTAAGATTGCTATAAAAGATTTTGGTTATGGAGTACTGCCTGTATAACTGAAATGTCAGGGAACTGAAATGATTTTCACTAGGTCCAGTGAATTCCAGTTGAGATTGTGGGCTTAATGGAATCTGTTGCTTTTGGGGAACAGAATTAATACTTAGTGCGGATTCTAAGGTTTTCTGGAAAAAAAAATGAAAACAAGGATATATTGACAGGGTGCCAAAGTAGTGTCTAAAACTGATTTGAAAATTTAGCTTAGCTGCCAGTTATATGTTTTTACTCTAACTTACTTTATTTGATGTTAAGTAAGCAATTTGAGTTTATAATAGAGGTTGGCAAACAATGGCCCATATTTTCCTATGGCCTATGAGCTATGAATGTTTTTTTACATTTTTGGTTGAATAAACACCTGAACATATTATTTTGTGATGTAAAATTATATGGAATTAAAATTTCAGTATCCATAAATAAAGTTTTATTGGAATAAAGCCATGCTTATTCATTTATATGTAGATGATGGCTGCTTTTGTGCTTCAACAGCAAAGTTGAATAGCTACAACAGAGATCATATGGTTGGAAAAGCCTAAAATATTTTCTCTTAGACCCTTTATAGAAAAAAAGTTTACTGATCTCTGATCTTACATTTGTAAAGTCTAATCCACCTTCAGTTTTTTTATGTATTCATAATTTTTTTTATGGAAGGTCCTTAATATATTGCTTACATGAGAATACCTATCCTAGTCTCTGGATATAGAGAATTCCCAATTTACAGAGTGGTTTATTTGAAATAATAGGAGGAAAAGTGCAGAGACTTCAGTTTTGGATTTCCATCTTTAGTTTTGATTTAGCATTTAACCCTAAGGAAATAATTTTTTTAAATGTATTTTCTTTTCAGAGAAACTTAGCAGTTAATATTCAATTGTGATGCAGGTCTCATAGGTGTTCCTAAATTCTTTTTTTTATAAAACACAATTGTGACTCCTATATAATGCTGTAGATCTGAGGCTCTCAAAATGTGGTCTTCAGACCTCTGGGTATTCTTAAGGTCTTTTCAGGGGCTCCACAGGCAAAAATATAGAAGAGGTAATAGTATTAGGACATTCTTTGCCTTTCCACTGTGTTGACATTTGAACTGATTATGCAAAAGCAGTGGGGGTGAAACTGCTATGTCTAGGCATGAATCAGGACAGTGATGCCTGACTCAGCAGTAAACATTGCATATACTTGTAGTAAAACCAATGCTGATTTTTCTTAAGAATGTTTTTGATAAAGCAGTGAAAACTGTTAATTTTATTAAATATCAGCCTTTGGGTACATGTCTTCTTGAATATTCTGCGTGACAAAATAGGAAAGATACATATAAAGCCCTTTGCATACTGAACTATCAGTATGTAGTGAGGAAAATGATTTGTGTAGTTTTTGAAGTTATGAGCCAAACCACTTGTTTATTTATTTATTTTTTAATGGGACACCATTTTGCTTGAAACAACAATTGATAAACTATTGTTATTCAAACTTGTATACTTGGCAAAGTTTTTCTTGAAAGTGATTGAAAGCTGACACTTCAAGGCAAATAACTGATAGTGTTTACTGCCAGTGATAAAATTAGAATTTTCAACCCCAAAGTAAGAGTTTTGGATCATTTCTGTGTGCTACTTTTGAGTTTGACAACTTCCATATACTTAAAGGATTTTCTGATGAGATTGGTGATGGTATTAACAATTATGATTATTTTGGATGTTGTAATAATGAAATGTGGGGAAAACATTTGGAAGATCTGTGTAACTCAGTAAACCAGTATTTTCAATTTGTTGTCACAAACTTAAGCATGGGTAAAAGATTCATTCAGTATACAAGATAGTCGAATGGATTTGAATGTAATAAAAATGGACATTTCATTGATAGAATCTTATATTTCACAGTACAGCTAGATTTAAGAAACTATTGCTTGTGGAGTTTTGATGTCTTTAAATTAAAGAACAATATACACAGTAATCTGAAAAGAGTACGAAAACACTTGTTTCTTTTTCAATGGTATATCTATGTGACATTTTCTTCATATCTTTTGACCAAAAAAAATATGACAATAGATGGTATGTAGAATCAGATATGAGAATCTATTCATCTTCTCTTAAGCTGGACATTAACAAGATTTTCCAAAATCTTCTCTCAATAGATATTTTGTTTTGTCACATAGAAGTTATTTTTCATAGAATTTATCAGTAGTCTTTAATGTTTTATTTAAAAATATTTCTCAGTCTTTCTTAGTATCAACACAATGTTAGTAAGTATTTAGAGATACAATTCACATTACCCAAAAGCTTTTTGGAATCATCATTTTTAAGAATGTGAAAGGAAGTTCCAAGGCCAGAAAGTTTGCTGTCTGTTCTTGTAGAAGATGCTTAATTTACTATGAAATTAATTAAATGGGAGAAGAAATTCTTGCATTTAAATATTAAATAGTTAAGTAGAATTTATTATTTATTTTTTATCTTTTGGTCTGAAAACTAAGGTACATATATAGTCCAGCTTTGTTTTTAAAACAGACCAAAACAAAATTGTCTAAATTTAATTCTTTTTTTAAAAATATTTATTTTTTAGGGGGCTGAGGCTGTAGCTCAGTGGTAAAGTGCTTGCCTCGCATGTGTGAGGTACTGGGTTCAATCCTCAGCACCACATAAAAATAAATAAAGATACTGTGTGTTCATTTACAATTAAATAAATATAAAAAATTATATTTTTTTAGTTGTAGTTGAACACAATACCTTTGTTTTATTTATTTATTTTTATGTGGTGCTGAGGATTGAATCCAGGGCCTCATACATGCTAGGCAAGCTCTCTACTGCTAAGGCACAACCCCAGCCCAAATTTCAATTCTTTTAAAAATCTTAATAGCGTACATTTTCCAGATGTGCATGGGTACCTGAAGGCATATCTAAAAGATGCATTATTTAATCATTATATAATTTTTATTTAATTGTCATAGTGGTTATAATTTCATGATAGTCTATTATGGCTCATATGCGTTAGCAGTTTCTCATTTAGAAATTTGCCCAATAATTAAAATTTAAGGAACTTCCTCTTAGTCACACAGAACATTTTAAGAACTGGTATTGAAGTACTTTTTTGGTATGACTCCAAAATTCTTACCCTTTGTGCCTTATGATAATGCTGTTGTTTATAGCAGCTATGTGTGCAAGCAACAGTTTTCAAGATCTTGGTTTTGATAATAAGGCTAGATCAAGGCTTGTCTTCAATTTTAGTTTGGTGATTAAGGTAAGCAAATTGTTTTCCAGGGTTGTAAAGAGATGGTATAAAAGTGAATGAACTACACTCAAATAAATTGCTAGACACTGACTTCCATCAGTAAATTACAGCTTTCCTAATTGAATTGGATTGTATGAAAAAATGAACAGCTAGAGTGATTTGTATTCTTTTGGCTGATGCTCAATTTAATATGTTTACTATTGTGATCATATTTCTAGGCTTCTCCAGTGACAGTGATCTGATATCTCTTACTGTTGATGTGGATTCTCTTGCCGAGTTAGATGATGGAATGGCTTCCAATCAAAATTCTCCCAGTAGAACTTTTGGTCTCAATCTCTCTTCGGATTCCTCAGCATTAGGGGCTGTTGCTTCTGACAGTGAACAGAACAAAACAGAAGAAGAACGGGAAAGTCGTAGCCTCTTTCCTGGCAGTTTAAAATCTAAGCTTGGCAAGAGAGATTATTTGGAGAAAGCAGGAGAATTAATAAAGCTGGCTTTGAAAAAGGAAGAGGAAGACGACTATGAAGCTGCTTCTGAATTTTATAGGAAGGGAGTTGATTTACTCCTAGAAGGTGTTCAAGGTACAATTTTATCTACATTAGTATGTTTTGGCATGTTCTTATGTTGGTATGTGGGGGAAAATGTACATATAACTATATCTTCTGTATAATCTTATATAGGAACAAGAATGAAAATGAGAAATTACTGAACTTCAAGTGAGATTATCAGAGGTACTTAACTCTATACTTTGATCAGTTAATCTACAAAAATATTTTTTTTTTTTTTTTTTTTGTGGTGCTGGGATTGAACCCAGGGCTTTGTGCATTCGAGGCAAGCACTCTACCAATTGAGCTATATCTCTAGCCCCCAAAATGAGATTTTTTTTTTTTTTTTTTACAAAGTCAACACATCTCCAAGTCTCTTGTACGAATAAGAATTTTTTTTTTCTTGTTTGACTGCATTGTTCCTCAGAAGTATTCACAGAGATTCTCTAGTGCTTTTACTCTCAATGAAAAGATAAAATAAAATAGGCTTTTAAACCAAGAGCGTAAAAGGTTCTTGGATTTGCCTACCATGCTGTTCTTTGGGAGTTTAAAGAGGGAATTAATTACAAAAAATCTGCTCTGATGTTCCGGTGCTATGTGCTAAAACATCCTTGGTATTTAATTGACATAGATAGAACACATCAGTGTGCCATCTTTTTGTCTAAAAGTTATCTGCATTTAATCTTGAACACTTCATAATGTTACCACTTGATGGCACCATAAAAATAAAAATTGTTGCTTCAAAATGAGAATTTTAAATACATATCAACCAATAACAAAAAATATTTCACTTAATTACTTTGCTGGTTATGGTGGTTAATTATTTCTCCATTGGGACTTGACACTAATCCTACTAGACCTTTGTCTTAAGGAATTTTAACTATTTAAACGTATTTCTCCTGTTTAACATGTCTGTCTGAAACCATAGTATCCAGTCCTGTTCTGGATTGGGTTTTATTGTTAATGTGCTATTGAATCCCAAAAGTTTAAATAATTGACTTACTGCTTTTAGTCCTTTTTTTTGTTTATAATATGATAGTATTATTCATTTCTTATTTACTTACTTTCTATGTTTTTACTAAGCTGCCATCTTAAGAATTCTAATATTTTAACCCATATATAAAAGAACCTCTGTTTCAATCCTGATGGCTGTACATTTAACTCCAGTCTGCGTATTCTGTTTAAAAGTCTACCACCTAACAGACATATGGACATTATCCTTTAATTTGTGGGAAAATTGGGGGCTCTAGCTTGTGAACTTGATTTGACATTTATGCTCAGAAAAGATGTTTCCTCGGGGAAAGTTTGTTCCAGGGTTACTGAAACATCATTAGAATCAGTAAAACCAATAGATAATTTTAATTTAACTCTTTTTATAACAGTTATTCCTTTGACCTTGGTTTGGATTAGCATGTTTATAATAAAAGCAGATAGAACACAAAAGTTATCTGGATATCTGATAATCCGGAGAAAATAATCTTTCAGAGCTATTTAAAAACACTTTACACAGAGATTTTGGGAGCTGGAAAATTTTGTTACTTCACTACTAAACTATTCATCCTAAAGGAGTTTATCTGGATTGTTAGTAGATCTGATAAAGGTGGCTTGATGTTTTTCTTCTTTAATTGGAGTTTGTGCAGCTGAGACTAGATGCAAAGCACAATAGCAGTGGTTCTCTTTGCTCATCCAGCAAAGACGCACGCCTGCATAGTGGTAACTTCAGATTCTCTTTTTGAACCTGACACTTCTCTTATTCCTTAATCTAGAAATGGCACCATGGACTCTCAGGTCTTTATGGACTTAAGAGAGAAAATCTAAAAGTCAAGGTAGAAGGAGTCAATTGAATCTTTGGAGAGAATAGTAAAGTACATACCATCCTTTCATATCCATCCTGTTATACATTATTACAAGATGCTGATATGGTTAATCTGTATTCTCACGGTGGGCTTCCTGGAATAGTTGTGATAATGTACAGTGGCAAATGGACTGCATAAAGGTGTTAATGAATGTTTAAGTAACAACTCATCTATTACATGCCTGTCACAGTATAAAGGTGTTTTTCTTATGTTATTTTTAATCTTCAGGTCAACTCCCTAAGCTGAACCATGTCTGGTCATACTTGTGCTTTGTCTAAAGGTACCAAAATTTAGAGGGTGCAGACATTTAATATAATGATCCTTAAAGCTTGGCACCTATTTAGCAAGAATAATTATTTAAAACAGGAAGCTACCAGATGGTGAGCATTGTTAGTAATACCCATCTGTGGGCTACATTATGAATTACAGAATTGATTTGAGAGCTGGTTTGGTATAGTTTGTTCCAGATGCCAAAATTGCTTGTTTGTAAGGTAGTTATTGTAATCCCCATTTTACAGGTGAAGGAACTAAGACTTGTATAAATGAAGCAATTTACTCAGGGACACAGCCAGTTAGAGTTGAGCCAGAGCTTTAATCTAGGTTTTCTAAATCTAAATGTCTTCTTTCCACTATACTGTGCTACTTCTCACACGTTACCCCCTAATTAGATAAGTTTTTTCAAATGGAGAAGCAGCAATTCTCCAGTATCAAATATGCTCTGTTTTGAATATAGTTACGGTTTAGGTAGGAGGTGTCCCCCAAAACTTCCTGTGTTAATGCAGTCATATTTAGAGGAAAAACAATTAGAATATGAGAGCTATAACCTAATCAGTCCTTCCTAGTTTGAGTGGACTAAACTGGTGGTAACTGTAGGAAGGCTGGGCATGACTGGAGGGAGTAGGTCACTGGAGGCATTCCTGGAAGGGCTCACCTTCCCTGCAGACCCTTCCCCTTTCTGTCTCTGCTTCCTGGTTGCCTTGAGTACTTCTCTGTCATGGTGTTATGTCTCACCTTGAGCCCAGAGTAGTGGAGTCATTTGACCTTAGGCTGAACCTCTGAAACTGTGGGCCTAAATAAACTTTTCCTCCTTTTAAGTTGTTCACGTTAGGTAATTTGTCACAGAAATGAAAGCCTAATATTCATTCTTTCCCATCGTCCATTGTTTATTCACCCAGCTACCACCAGGTTGATCATTTAGTAAGCATTTATTACTCACATGTATCAGACTCTGTGATAGGGAATATAAAATGTTTTTTCTTGTGAAAATATAAAATATTACTGAGTGGTGAATCTTCAAAATGAGATTTTTTGTCAATTCTATAGTATGTTAATAAGATCCATGATTGTGTAGTATTTATCTCATTGAAAATATTTGGTAGATGTGCTGCTTTAGCTATCCGTGTTACTTTTTTAAAATTTGGTAAAAATGCCAGGATCTTCTAATCCTTTTCTTCATCTTCATTGTCCTCCTTATTTGTTCTTTATCCTCCTGTCCTCTTTCCTCTCCTCTCCTCTTTGTTTACATTGAAATCTCTTATATATGTTGTGATGAAATTTATAATGAAAATACCTCCTAGATATCATTGATGCTTAATTTTTCTTTGAAAATTTTATTGATATTTTTGAATACTAAGCTTGCAGGTGCAAACCATTTTTCTGCCATTCTTATTCTGTTAAATGGTTTAATAAGCAACACCAAGCAATTTTTCATAATTGCCCTATTCCTAGATAGATGTGTGCTAGGTTCTTAGGGCTATCCATACATTTTTCAAAAACTGTGACCTTGTGTGTTCAGGAACACTGTATAATTCTGTGTTTCTCATTGGGTCTTGATTAGTCTTCCTGGGTGAAACCACAAACTCATGTCTACTTCCATATTTCTTTTGAGTCACTTAAACTAGTTCCAAATTGAGCTATACTTTGCAGGGTTGTTTCTAGAACATGTTTAGTCCCTTTAAATGTGGCTAGTCTCTGTGTACTCATAATAATATATAGTTAAGTGCTGTATAAAATAGCTGAGACCTTTGATTTATTCTTTTGAATAAGAATTACTCAAATATTTGGAAATGAACAGAATAGTCTTGTTTGCTTTAGAATGGATGGACCTGAGAAAGGTTATCAGTCTTGGTTTGATAAAGGGAAGAAAGTCATATGATACTGTATTGTTGAATTTCAGAATGAAAAATCACAACTTTGAGATTTATTTGAATTATTTACAGTGTTTGTTAACTCAGAAGGTATTGTGAAAGTATTTTCTAGTTGACTTTAAGTTATTGCCCAATTTGGCATAAGTCCAGCAAAAGTAAGAGCTACATTTTTAGTGGATGATCGTGGTGTGATCATCTTGCTTTCAAATGCATTGACTTCTAGCATTTTTAAATTTATGAACCCCTTTGAGTTTTTTTTTTTCAGTATTATTCTAACTATTTAGGTCTCCTTGACATTTCATATAAATTCGAGAATTACTTTTTCTGTTTGTATAAAAAAGGCAGTTGGAATTTTCATAGAAATTATATTAAATCTATAAGTTTTGGGAGTATTGCTATCTCTCAACAATGTTAAATCTTATCTATGAACACAAGATGTCTTTTAACTTGTTTATATCTTCTTTAATTTTCTTCAGCAATTTTTGTGGTTTTCAATGTATATAAGTTTTACCTCCTGGATTAAATTTATTCCTAGGCATTTTATTTTTTGAATGCTATTGCAAAAGGAATTTTAAAAATTCCATTTTTCTCTTCGGGGCTGGGGATATAATGGATACAGTGGTAGAGTGCTTGTCTGGCATGCATAAAACTCTGGGTTTGATCCCCAGGACACCACACACACACACTCTCTCTCTCTCTCTCTCTCTCTCTCTCTCATGTGTGCACACGTGCACACACACACACACACATATACAAAGTAATAAAATAAATAAAAATTTTGTTTGTTCCTAGTGTGTATCAGTTTAGCTGGGGTTTGTATGTTGATCTTCTACCCAGCAACTTGTGGAATTTGTTATTAGCCCTAGTTGTTTTTATTGTGGATTTTTGGTTTCCTATATATAGGGTAAGGCATCTGTGAATATAGATAGTTTTGCTTCTTCCTTTTTAATTTGAATATTGTTTCTCTCTTTTTCTTGTCTAATGCTCTGGCTAGAACTTCCAGTACAGTGAAGAATATTCAAAAAGCAGATAT